CGCCCTCGGTGTTGCTATTGAGAAACACTCGGTGGCTCCCGGTACTACAATGCAGCGGTAGCCGGCGACTCTTGGAACTGCAATGCAGAGGTAACCGACGCAAGGTGCCACCGGGGGTTGCTGCATTGCTCTGCATCAGATAGTGTTGCTCTTCATCGGGTGGATGGGGATTAGAGAAGAAAGCATCATGAGGATGGGGATTAGAGAAGAAAGGTACTTTGTTGCCGCGATCGACCATCAGCGCCAGATCGAACGGCTGACTAGGTGGATAGAAATCATCCGCCTGATTTGTAGCAGCCGCCTTTAAATATTCATGATTCTTATATAAGATACCCAAATTAATTAAAAGCATTCAACATTGTTTTTGAAAAAATGTTCATAGATTTAAGAAAATCACATTTAATTTCTTTTTTTGTAAATTTCAACAAATCTTCAGTTTCTTAAAATCCCATTTTTCGAAAAGCAATGTAACCTTTTTATGGAAAATAATTCACAGTTTTTCTTTAAGAAAATCATACCGACTAAAAACAAGAGTAATCGAAGAAAACAATTGTTGAACAACGTGATGCCATGTGTGATGCCCCATATATATCACGATCAGCCCATATACGGTGGTCTGTGCGACACTCCTCCAATATGCACCAGGGCTATGTCTCGCCTCTGGCACAAGGCTAGTGGACCAACCTAGTACTATAGCTCCACTGAGCGGATTTTTTATGTTTTTATAGGTCGGTTTTAGAAGCTTCCACTGGGTTTATCATTATATGTTGTTTCAGGCATTTTTGTTTTTGTTCTTCTCCTTTTGCTTATTTTTTCCATTTTTTAAATACATGTCGACTTTTTTAATACATGTTCTACATTTTTGTATACACGTGGAACTTGTTTTGACAGCCGTTCAACTTTTTTTAATATATGATATAACTTCTTCAAATACATGTTTGAACATTTTTTGAATACATGCAAAAGAAAATTTAATGCACGTTGAACATTTTTTAATGGTATAAAACATTTTTTAAAATTACGTGAACATTTGTTTCACTATATAAACATTCTTTCAAAATGTCACGAATTAATTCTTGAAGCATGTGAACATTTATTAACTACCAGAAACATTTTGTTTATATTTTATGAAAAAATATATTTTGAAGGGTATGAATCACTTTTTTAATATTAAACATACATTTTAAAAATAAAAATAAAAGCCATAAACATTTTTTGAAAGATGTGAACATTTTAAAATATACTCGCTGCGGAGGTGCATAGCAAGTGTTCGCCGAAATGTATTAACCAAATTTAAGTTTGCTTCGTTATATATAAATGATCGGCTAGGTTCACCCAAAACTTAGTATATACGTTGCTGGTCTTCCCGTGTCTCCGGTGTATCTTTTGTCTTCCCATACACGTCCAAGAAGCCAAGCAGGGTCACGTAAAGATTCTTCGTCATGTGCATCACGTGGATTGCAGAGCGGACCTTTAGGTCTTTCCAATAGGGCAGATCCCAAAATATATATTTCTTCTTCCACATGGGTGCGCGTCCGTTAGCGTCCTTCGGAATAGGTTGTCCGCCAGGCCCCTTTCCAAAGATTACCTTCAAATCCTTGACCATATCCTGTACATCAGCACCAGTACAGTGGCGAGGCTTCGTCCGATGTCCACCTCACCTTTGAAATGCTTGCCTTTCTTTCTTGCGGGATGCCTGCTCGGAAGAAATCGACGATGTCCCAGGTACACATTCTTCCTACAACTATCCAAATATATACCGTCGGTATCATCCAAACAGTGTGTGCATCCGCGATATCCCTTGTTTGTCTGTCCTGAAAGATTACTTAGAACAGGCTAATCATTGATGGTCACGAACAGCAACGCCTTTAGGTCAAATTCTTCCTGTTTGTCCTCATCCCACACACGTACACCTTTTCCATTCCACAGTTGTAATAGTTCTTCAACTAATGGCCTTAGGTACACATCAATGTTGTTGCCGGGTTGCTTAGGGCCTTGGATGAGCACTGGCATCATAATGAACTTCCGCTTCATGCACAATTGAGGAAGGTTATACAAACATAAAGTCACATGACACGTGCTATGGTTGCTGCTCTGCTCCCCAAAAGGATTAATGCCATCTGCGCTTAGATCAAACCATACGTTCTTTGGGTCACCTGCAAACTCCTCATTGTACATTCCCCAACAGATGGACGTGAATGATTCTTGAGTTAGAGTAATTGTAATCATTCTTACAGCCAACACATGGACAAGTCATAAAACCTTCCGCCCGCTTGTTTGCCTGAGCCGCAATAAGAAAAGTATGCACGCCATCAACGAACTGGGGAGAGCATCGGTCATCGTACATCCATTGCCGGCGCATCTTCATTACACACCACCAAATAGACCAAATTAATACAAGTTCATACATAAAATTTATACAACACTTAAATGCAACATACAAATAACTCTCTAGCTAAAGCATTTAAATGCAACAACAAATGCGATCAAGATCGCAATTAAGGTAAATGTTTAGAAAACGTGCAGTTGTAGAAAAAAAAGATGTGCAATTGTGTTTTTAGTAAAAAAAAAAGTCCAATCCGTGGTGGCCTAAATTACAAATTTTTTTAGAGGTAATATCACTAATAGTCACACAACTTGCATCGAATGTGCAGTTTGATACTAGATCTTTCAAAATACGGTTTTCTAGTCATGTAACTTGTCATTTGGTGCAAATACGATCACTCCGGCTCTCCGCGCACGTATCCGTTGTTGATGTGGCATGCACGGGCACACTGTCAGCGATCTACGCAATTTCGTAGTGATGCGCACGCGGAATTTTTGCATAGGATCCCCCGACTCATTTTTATTTGCTCAAAACAGTCCCTGCAACGGGCGGGAAGAGACAGCCCGTGTATATTTTTGCAGAACGGCTCCCTGGTGACTTCTCTGTGTCGCGTTTCTCCTAGGTAGGGTTCATGTGGTAGGGCGATCACCATTGATTCATTCACTTATGTACGCATTGTGAGTAATTGAGCTTTGCCATACGCATTACATTCTGAAGGTCTAGTTCCCCTGTTTCCCAATTCGAGCTAGGGTTTTTGTGGAGGTTAAAGGAGGTGGTTTATCAATTTGTTCACAGTTTAGGGTTTATGAATCGTTAGATGGCATAGTCCAAATCCTCTTCCATTTGTGAGATGTTTACTGAATTTTTGTGACAATGTGTACCGAATATGCTTGCAAATCCAGTTAACTGAATATGCTGCACATTATGTGAGTGAAAGTGTTAACTGAAACTGTTACCTGCGCATTATGTGATGTATTGACAAGTGATAATAATCTGTTGTATTGTGACTTAACTGCTTACTTAACTGAACATGTTCTCTGCTGCAGTATTAACCGTATTTTGGCACTTAATGGTAAATGAATTTGTGCACTGAACATGTGTATTTTGGCTCGTGCATGTGTGGCATGCCACGCCAGCGGCGGCTACGCACACGGACAGCCAAAGTGACCGTATGTGCACCAAACGAAAAGTTAGATGACCAGAAAATCGTATTTTAAAAGATCTAGCACTAAACTGCACATCTCACACAAGTTGTGTGACTCCCAGTGATATTACCTCTTTTTTTTACAAAGATAAGAAGGAATATTCTCATTCTGCTGCCCCATAGCAAACTAGATCGATGCTGAGCACAAATCTCTATGAAATTTCACATGCTTGCAGAGTTGCACATGCACTAGCTAGCCATTGGATGCTACACAGCTAGTTGAACATTTTAGAATTAACAAATCGTTGTCATGGAACAGCTCCCTTGTTAAAGGTAGCACACATGTGACATTAACAAAGTGTATCAGACAATTGATTCCATAACCAAAAATATTGATGATGAACGGTTCCATTTTTCGAGGAAAAGTCCTGTCAACTGGTTTCACAATGTTTCTCTTGAGCAAGTTATGCTATACGAGCTCACTGCTTTATTATGGCCCGGAATTCCATTTGCTGGGACAAAAACAGACCAGATAAAGGGGCTAAAATATTAGCCCCATACCTCTGAAACTTATAACAGCATATAAATATGAGTTTTGCATGTCCCTTCAGCACTCTGCCAGCAAGATGAGAGCATCACCATTGCGATTTAAGTTCAGAGAGCTAACAATAAGGCCATCAGAATAGGTTCTTCTGAAAGTTTTTGGTGAAGCAACTGAAAACTGAAAAACAGAGGATGACAAACGTTATGACATGACAGATGAACAGAGCCCACTACAGTGCCCTACTTCCAAAGAAAGTATGCCAAGCACAAATACCTGATCCTCCTGATCTTGCTAGGAATCCGGTTGGCCAGTGTAATGTTTCAGGCCAGCAAAGATCTTCCCGGCGAAGTATGGTAGCAAACCCAGGCTGCTGTTACCTTGCCTTGTTTTGTTTTCAACCTGTTGCTGCTGCAGCAGTGGCTGCAGAAGAAGCCATGGACACACTGAATTTGATGCCACCTCCAGCACCTTGCCATTGACAGGACACTTTGCCAGACTCATCTTTTCAAGCAAACAGACCCAGTTAATCCATGTCCACTGCATTCACTGAAACGCGATGTCACTGCAGCAGAAGAAACAGTGATGTGAACGGCACGATGTTTTTTCTCACTCAACCAAAAAGCCACACACGCCACATTAGAATGTACTGTATCAGACAACTGACTCTATAATAGATGATGAACTTTCTCATTTATGGGCATTTAACATCAAGAGATCAAAACTAGAGTGAGAACAAAGGGGGCTACAAAGAGAAAGTGAAGACTTTTCTGTTTCAGTCACTATATTGCAAAGAAAATATTAACTACCAACTCTGGTGCGGTAGTGTTTATGCCACACAACCGTATCATTGGTTACCAAATAATCAACCTACCATGCAAGAACCAACAGAAGTGTATATCACTATGAAACTGCAAAAGGGAACACATGATCATCATAAGTGAATCCACAATCTGACAAAAAAGGTTGAGCTGCTCAGATGTTCTTGCTCAGGTTAAGATTTCAGCCGGAAAGCTCCAGGGACGTTCAGGTACACTGGTCATAACCTGTACTCGATTGAGTAGAATTAGTAATCAACGATGCTCAACTAACATTCAGATACACTGGTCATGGCAAAGGCCACTAGTCAACTAGTAGAATAGATTACACACGAGCGTTAACCTTTGTTGCATCTCCTTTTATCAAGCGGAGGTGCTCTATCATAAGCCAGAGCACAGTCGTCAACTCACCGCCGCTGTTCAGGTTCCTGGCGTGCGCCTCCCTGCTGCACCGGTTGGCTGCATAGGCCATGAAGTCGGTCCACACGTCTAGCAGCACAACCACTGCATCTTCGTCCCTACGGCGCAGTATCCGAGCAATCTTGCGTGCGTACATGAGCCGAGGAGTTTCGTAGTAGTTGAAATTCTCCTCGTGTGGCAGCTCCAGTATGATCCCGGCAAGCTCCTTCTCGAGCTTAGAAGGATTTAAGCAGCGGCGGTGATGGCGTGGTCCGAACAATCTCTTGAGCGCGGTGAAGATGTTGCCTCGAGAACCAACTAGGCGTTCTTTACACAAGTCGTCCAGATTGGTGCAGGTTTTCTTGTACAGCCAGTTCTGAGGAAGGCCTGGTAGCATGTCGGGGCGATCCACCAGGAGGAACATCATGTAGTTGGACAGTGCCCTGACAGCCTCCACACGGCCGTCAGCTGCATCATGGCCGCTTGGCTGCCCTGCGGCGAGGATCAAGTCGGTGGCGATGTGCCAGCTGATGATGCTCTCGTGGAAGTCAACTCCATGCCAGTCCTCCAACTCCATGTACAGCCCAGGGTACTTCTTCTCACTCAGCGCCATTTTACCCCAATTATACCTGAGCATGCCCATTGTGTTTATATCACCCGTTGAGACTATGTCGTCCACCTTCTGTGCACGCTCCTTGACCTTCTCTGGGACCTCAACAGTCCATGAGTAGTACCTTCTCTCAAACGACTCGCTGAGCCCCACCATCTTGAAAAGACTGCCGAGCTGGTGACCGGTCGAATCCATCTCTCCGGTGCGAAACTGCAACATGTTGTGCTGTCCCATGGTGCCTGACCATCTCCTTGAGTTCCGTGTAATTATCGCCTTTCCAGGCCAAGACCGGCGGAGAGATCCAAGTCTCTGACGAAGCCAGTGCCACCTTCCACTGCACAGAGCTGCATGCCGAAGCCAATTACATCGTGTAGCACACAAGAAGGCAAACACCCAGCTTGATCCAAGTGCACCTACAAGGGATTTTGTCTCCAGGACCAAGGCAACAACCAACAAGGTGTATGTGACGACAACATCGGCTTGGCTGTCACCATCTTTGCCGCTCAACTGGAACAGCACAAGAGAGGCGGTAATGGCAAGAGGCGACACGGCACGGATGCAGTAGCCAAACCAAGAGTGGATCACACTTGCCTTCGTGTAGAGGATGTCGTACATAAGGGAGAGCTCCATCTCCATCACCGTCCACATGCGCTCACGGTCTTTCATGAGGCCCTGGATTGTTGTGTTGTCCAAAGAATCCAGCTCACTCAGGCTATCTGGATCCACCATCATCACGGAATCAACTATCCCACGCTTGCAGATATGAAACAGGGAGTGAGCAAGCTGCAGGAGTTCAGCGTTGGAGTTGTCGTAGCCGTGTTGATGCTCGGTGTAAAATTTTTGGTGATGCTTGTCACGTGGTAACACCTTGAGAGAGCTCCGGAGCCTGCTGAAGTTGGCGAACCAGAGCGCACATGTCCTCTCCCCATACTTGGCAACGCCGAGACCGAATATCAAGATGGCAGCCAGCATGAGCAAGATCCCACTGCCGATGATATGCTTGTAGAAGACATGTCCAGCTCCCAGGACCTGCACCAAAAGGCTCAGAAAGTGGCGTTTCCAGAGCTTGCTATCCTCGAGGGCATAGGCGGTAATGTTGTCCGGGCCGCCAAGGTGCAGCAGGAGGAACGGAGCCCAGAAGGCGACTAGGTGGTGCTCTTGCGGCGTGCTGCTGAAGAAGAGCTGCCCGGCAGCGTACGTCGCCGTCATGTCGGACAGCTGGTACGCCAGCCAGAGGAAGAACCTCTGCATAGCTGAGCTGGCTTTGCGACGACGCACCTTGGCGAAGAGATGGAGGATGACCTGGAAGCCGAGGCTCAAGAGAACCAGGATCCGGGTTCCCCACTCATTCCATAAGTCCAAAGGCCCTCGAGCCATTGTTGAGAGCTTGATCCTGGAATGCAACAAGTATACACAGATAAAATCAGTAGCGACAATTAAACAAGGTGAAAGCACAGCCTAATTGCACAGTAGTGAACTAGGAGATCACAAAGTGGCAGTGTAATACCTCCCAACTCTGAAGAAAGTGAGCACCAGCACTGCAGAGTATGACACTGCTACCTCTAGAGTAACTACGGACAGAGCAACTGATCGAGTAGTAGTACACTATCAAGTAAACATAAATGCCATTCTGATTGTCATGTTGCAGGAGCTACCCAACGAGTGCCAACTAGCTGTACACTTTTAACAAGTAGCTAGCGCAAGGAACAAACAAATTAAGAATACTGATCACAGTTGGGAATCGCATCTGAAGGTACGTGCCAGATCCATCCATCAGACCAGCTCATCATTTGTCAGCTTGTCCATACTAAATTTGGAAGGAAAAGGCGAACTAGGTCGATAAATACAGTCTGAAGCATGTTCCTACTTGAGATGTCTCATGATGTTTTTTATTGTTGAGACCATGCAGTGTGCAAGCTTACATTCAATCAACCAACAATACTATACTCCCAGCGCATGTGATGGCAACCAGGAGTTAAGTTAGTTAACAGCCTGTCCGGGTCGAGCCACGGCATGGAAGCGACGAGGGTGAATCCCCCTTTGCGGCCTGGAGCAGGAGCAACGCGCGGCACTAACAGGGAATTGGGGATTGATTCGTGTTGACAGGCACTGAACACTTAGATTTACCACAATGTTTTTGCTACTAGTACTAAAATATATGCTTGTTAGACGGGCGAAAATAAGCGGCATGGACAATCGATATCGAAATGCATATGTATGTACAAGTGGAGTGAAATGTGACAGTGGCAATACCTGTAACAGCAGGTGCTAGCTGTACCGAAGTCCAAGCAGGAAGTAGCAGCAGAGAGAGATGGCGGCAATTAGGACAGTGCTTGGCTGGTCCGTTCTTAAGTACCAGAATTCCAAATTGGAACAGTATGTACGTTTTTTTTCTTTATTACAAAGACAAAAAAAAGCAAGGGATATGCATAGAAGAAAACAACTACTTTTGAGCCTCCAACCATACTTAACTAGAAATAATGTCACAGTGGCTTAATTAATTAAGACACTCACTATTGCTACATATCTACCTACTCAGTAGTCAGTACCCAAGACAGCTCCAACAGCACTTGGTTAAGAATATGTCTCATGGGAAATATAATCTCATCAGCATAACCTTCCCAATTGCCTCCAAAGAAAACCACTCATGTGTCTTGTATCTCTAGAATCTTGTACCTCTATTTTTAGTGTTTCACTGCCAAATATTAAGAATTCACGCCTGCAAAAAACAACAAAAATTAGGAATCTGCCATCGGAAGTTATTTCTCAATGAACAACCTTGTCCTCCTCCAGTTTCTTTTTATTTCTAGACTAGTTCCTGTTCAGCACTTCTGTTCCCAACAGAGGGGCCCGACCAACAATACGATATGCACAGAAATATAATTATTCACTCTGGGGCGGCATGGTTAGGATATAATGCTAGTAGATCATGGCAATGCCTGTTGTAGGAGGAGGCGGATGGCACTACAAAGTGGAGTGTAGCAGGTATGAGCTTTCTTGCGCAAAAGGTCTACATGTGCATGCCTGCTTGGATGGATGCCTTGAAAAGCGATTGACAAGTTGTTAGGCTGAACCTACCGATGTGCTGGGCTAAATTTGCAGCTTAGACCACATTTGCATTTCCAGGTTTCGACTAGATTAAGGAAAGTGCCACATACACAGCAAGATCCCGGGTTCGTGCCTTCCCCAAACGAGTACTTTTTTTTTCTTGGAAAATAACTGAAACCAGTTCAGATTGAAATACTGAAATCATGGCTGTCATGAGCGTTTGCTATTATTGAGAGCATGCATGGGCCGACCAACAATATTATACTCCCTCCGTCTCAAAATAAATGTCTCAACTTTGTATTAACTTTAGTACAAAGTTGTACTAAGCTTGAGACATTTATTTTGAGCCGGAGGGAGTATCTATCAATGTTTTAAATAGCCGGCTATAGCTCCGCTATAGCTCGGCTATAGCCTTTTCAGCAGGGTGGCGCTAAATGGTCGCCTTTATAAATAGCCCGCTATATCCCGTTATAACTTCGCTATAGCTGTTTTTGGAGGCCCGCTGCTATTTCCTATAGCCCGCTATTTAAAACATTGGTATCTATTTAATATTAAGGTTCTATCCATTATCCAATCAACTAATACTTTAATAATACATCATCCAACGCCTGCTTTATGAGGAGGTGGATGCCAAGTGCAAAGCTTTATTGTCAGGATCTGTACCTGAAACCTGAAGAATCAACAGTTAACTCTGAAGAATGTAAGACACAGCCTGTTTTGTTACAGCACCATGTACAGTTTACATATTCGCGCCGCTGGGCTATCTCGCTGCTATTGGGGATGCATCCGATGGCTACCAGTTTCCTAAACATCTCGGTTAACATTTTCGACAACAGCTTTACTGCAATTTAGATTTACTTTTACCATATTCTTTTGCCTCTGGATGTAAGCTTAATGGGTTGGGTGCAGCACTGGGCATCCCTCCTTGTATTCAGTTAAATCCTGGCCGCCCCTTGTACGGGTTGGGCCTCAACTTTGCTCTGTGATCTTCTAATCCATCTCTCTAAATCACTCCCAAACTTATCTATTTTCTTTGCCTAAAAAAAACTTTTCTCTGTGCTCTGAAAATAACTCCCAAAGTTATCTATTTTCTCTGTGTTATTGTCTGAATCCTGCAACTAGCCTCTGAAATTCAGTTGCAAAAATACGGAACTGAAACCATCTCAGATTCATTACCGAAAAGGGAGAACTCACAGGGAACACCGCGTCGCGGGGCAAGTACCATCGTTCGCGCCTCCCCACCCTCCGTGCGCTGCACTGCGGCGACGACGACCGCCGTCGGCGACCAGCCGACCACAGGCTCCGCGAGGCACAAGGCCGCAGCAGCGGCCAGCGGAAGGAGGGCAAGGGATGGTCCGTGGCCGCCGCCATGGGTAGGTGTCCCTGCAGCCTCGTGGTTGGAGGACGAACCAACGAGATTGGGGATTGGTTTTTAGGCTGGTTGTAAGGGCATCTCCAGCCGTTGGCCCCCCAGGACGCATAGAAATCGCCCCCTGGGGCGAGCCAGCGATACACTCGGTGCTGGGGCGGTTTTGCGCCCGGTCGTCGCCCCAGCTCGCCCTCAGGCGCTAAAATTGACCCACTTTGCAGCCCAATTTCGGCGAATAAACGGCCCATATGGGCGAGAATAGGCCCATATTCGGCATGGTTTCGCCGTGTCTCGGCGTTCAATTATCAACACAATTATTCCTTATCACATATTTTATCACAGAAAAATCAAATACTTCAACAAAATACTACAACAACAAATAGTTCAATACAAATTATATAGTTCAACAAATAAAAACTCGTATTTCATCACGCGGCGTCCCCCTTGAGCCTCCATAGGTGCTCAATCAGATCTTTCTGCAGTTGATGATGCACCTGTGGGTCTCGGATCTCCTGACGCATACTGAGATAGGCAGTCCAAGTTGCCGGTAGCTGGTGATCAACTTCGGCTAGAGGACCCTGCCTGTAGTATGGTTCAGTGTCAAACACTGGGTCTTCTTGCTCGCTCTCGGTGATCATGTTGTGCAAGATGACACAGCAAGTCATGATATCCCACATTTGATCTTTCGACCAAGTCTGAGCGGGGTACCGAACAACATCGAATCGAGATTGGAGCACACCAAATGCCCGCTCGACATCCTTCCTGCAAGCCTCCTGAACCTTCGCAAACCAGGCGTTCTTGCCTCCTGCCACAGGGTTTGAGATTGTCTTTACAAATGTCGACCATCTCGGATAGATGCCGTCAGCTAGATAGTACCCCTTGTTGTATTGGTGCCCATTGATCTCGAAGTTCACCGGAGGAGAATGACCCTCAACGAGCTTGGCAAAAACAGGAGAGCACTGCAACACGTTGATGTCATTGTGAGTTCCTGGCATACCAAAGAAGGAGTGTCAAATCCAGAGGTCCCGTGTGGCTACCGCCTCAAGCACCACACTGCAACCGCCTTTGGCGCCTTTGTACATCCCCTGCCAACCAAATGGGCAGTTATTCCATTGCCAATGCATGCAGTCGATGCTTCCAAGCATCCCAGGAAATCCTCTTGTTGCATTCTGGGCTAGGATCCGAGCAGTGTCTTTCGCATTGGGTGTTCTCAAGTATTGTGGCCCAAACACTGCCACCACTGCCCGACAGAACTTGTAGAAACACTCTATGCTGGTGGACTCGGCCATGCGCCCATAGTCGTCGAGTGAATCACTGGGAGCTCCATATGCAAGCATCCTCATCGCTGTCGTGCACTTCTGGATGGAGGTGAATCCAAGAGCGCCAGTGCAATCCATCTTGCACTTGAAGTAGTTGTCGAACTCCCAGATGGAATTCACAATCCTAAGGAAGAGCTTTCGGCTCATCCGATAACGGCGCCGAAATGTTCTCTCGCCATGAAGTGGAGCATCGGCGAAGTAGTCGGAGTAGAGCATGCAGTAGCCTTGCAGACGATGCCGGTTCTTTGCTTTCACCTGCCCCGGCACCGAGCCACCTCGACGCGGCTTTTCATTGATCGCCAGCAGCTGGGCGAGGGCGGCGAGCACCATCAGATGCTCTTCTTCCTGGACGTTGGCCGCGGCTTCCTCCTCCAGCAGCGCGGCGAGCTCTTCCTCCGCGGCCGGAAACGGCGGCAGGAAACGACCAGCTGCTGCGAGAGGGGCTGCCGCGGCGAAGCGCTGCTATTTTCCGGCGGGGAATGGCTATCTAGCGGAGTAGGCCGGCGTCCGTCGCCGGGATATAGCTAGTGGTGGCCGAGGGCGCGGGGGGGGGGGGTGCGAGGCGAGTCGGGGGAAGAAAACCTTGACTTTTCCCCTATCGGTGTGGGCCAGGCGTACTTTTCCCTAGCGCCGGAGCCCCC